TGTTGACTTTGCCATGGGAGTCAGCAGAGACATTTAGCATCTTGTACGTGCTGTGGATTTGTATCTCCTGAAGCCACTGTACCATTCATCAAAGGCTTACGGAAACTCTGAATACACACAGCATTTCAGAATGTAAAACTCACCCTGCCTAAAGTCCTTATTAAAGAGTTTCCAGTTCCCAGGCCTCATGCCAGAGCACTACTGGCTGAGATTGGGCATATGGGTTAGCAAATGCTTTGAACTTGAACATAAGAACGGCCATACTGTATCAGACAGATGGCCCATCTAGCCCAGTATCCTGTCTTCTGAGAGTGGCCAGTGCCAGATGCTACAGAGGGAAGGAACAGAACAGGGTAATTATCGAGTGATCCATCCCATGTCGTCCAGTCCCAGCATCTGGCAGTCAGAGGCCTAAGGACACACAGGTGCCAATTTTCAAAAGTGCCGGGGGGTGCTCAACCCCCAGCTCTGCCCCAGGCCCCACTCTACCCCTTCCCCCAAGACTCCACCCCCTCCCTGCCTCTTCCCGCCCAGTTCTGCCCCCTCCCCCGAGCAGGCCGGATTCTCGCTCCTCCCCCCTCCCTCCCAGAGCCTCCTGAACACCATGAAACAGGCGGGAGGCATGGGGCAGTAGCTGGAGGTGCTGATCCGCGGGGCCTGCCAGCGGGCGGGAGGCACTGAGGGGGTGGGGGAGAGCTGATAGGGGGCTGCTGGTGGGTGGAGCACCCACAGAGTCTGCGCCTATGTAAGGACACCCAGAGCATGGGGTGGCGTCCCTGACCATCCTGGCTAATAGCCATTGATGGACCTTTTCTCCATGGACTTACCTAGTTCTTTTTTTGAACTCTCATACGCAAGCAGGCAACTATAGGGTTACATTGTGCCTCTAGGCACCACCCTACGCAAGGGATGGTATATCAACTGTGCCACCTCTGGAAAAGCCCCAGGGGCAGAGGCACGACTTTTATTTTTCCCCGTAGGGGCTCCACCCCTGCTTCGCCCTGAGCCCCCCCCATTCCACTCCCCACCCGCCCATTGCTCACTGCTCTCCCCTCTCCCCCAAGCATCTCTCTCCAGCTGCCAAACAGCTGATCGGTGGTGCCGCAGAACAGCTGTGGCTGGTGGGTGCTGAACACCCACTGGTTTTTTTCCATGGGTGCTTGAGCCCCAGAGCACCCCCGGAGTCGGCGTCTATGCCAGGGGGCATCATAGTTCAGAGACACCCCTCTGTGTTACAGTCCCTCCCCTGCTTCCCCCTTGCTCTGCAGGGTAGTGATTAACTACAGGCCCGGACCAGCCGCAAATTACAACACCCCGTGTACTGGCTGGGCTGCTCTGGTCAGGGAATAGAGGGAAGACGCAGCAACTGCTGACTCCTGCCTGCCCAGTCCCCAGCTCTGGGTAACATGCAGAGATGCAAGGAGAGTCGCCCCCCTGCACAGCCCTATCATCCAAACCACAATCTGGGCCACTCAGGATCAAAGATGTTCCCAGCCTGTGTCGGCATGTGTATTAAAGTCCTCAGCAAAATAGGCGTGTTTTGTACAGCGCATGCCCTGGGCGTGGAGGGACAGGCCAATGTAAAGTCTGTTTCGTTGACTGTTGACATTTTCAACCTTTCAGAGGTTTGTTTGGATTTTGATTTTCCTGGCGTTCTAGGGATTTGTTTTGTTTTGTTTAAACCACAACATCCTTTTAAGACCATTTCCCTGGAAATGATTGATGTGTATTTTCAACCTTAACTCCAACGTAAGGAAGCTTTTCGTCATGGAATACGGAGAGATCTGAGGAGCGATACAGTATCGTGTGAAAGCAGAGTGGTGATAATTCCCCTGCACTCCACCAGGGGGAAACCATGGTGCAACTGAGATAGTCATTATTAATCGCTGGTTTGTTATTATGAGCAGTAAAACAGGGAGTACAAAGGGGAGCGTGGGAGCTGGGAGAGTTGGAAGGCCTCCCATCTAAGAGACCGTCACAGGAGCTATGCATACGTGTCTTAAAGAAATGCAGGGAGCAGGGTGGCATAGGCCTCTGTGCCAGCAGCAGAGCGGAGATAATAGAAAGGAAGCTGGGAATGATTGGAGTTTAACAAGAAGCAAGGGCCCTACGCACGGGAAGAACACATTTAGATGAGGTGCCTGCTGATGCTCTGACAATGGACTGAGGTCGGGGAGGTCCCATCAGTGGAAATGCTCACAAAGAGCCCAGATGAGACAGGCAGAGCAAGCGGAGGGAGCTGAGCTGGGTTGCGGTGGCCTGTGAGCTCCGTTCCTGCTAGCGATTGGTACTGGAGAAGCAAGGGCATTTTGGAGAGGCCCATGAGAAACAGGCAGTGCTGATTGCCAGGGCAGGCGAGCCGGGGGCTGAGGCCAAGCAGGGTAAATTGCTGGCTAGCGAGTTGGCTCCACACGTCGCTGACAAGAAGCAGAGTAACCAAGTGCTCTGGCGGCTAAATCACAGAGCTTATAAATATGCTATTCCGGGTGGCTGGCAGGTTTGGTCCTTTAGCTCAAATGGTAGAAGCCTGTGCTTTTTGTACAGACAGTCCTGGGTTCAAACCCACTGGTGGCCTGAAGAGACTCATTTGCTGTGTTGATGCAGCACCTGTCCCCAGCAGGCCCTGCCTGCCCACAGCTCTGTGCCAGTTCTTCCCCAGCCTGAACTAACACACCTGTGCTGGTTCCCAAGCTGAGAGGGTCAGTCGGGAGGTGACAGCAGGGGAGACGGGCTATGCAGCTAATTGGCTGTCGTAAGCTCCTTCTCCGCTGCAAGCAGCGTGATGGGGCCTGTGCATAGGGTTCCCAGGGCTCCCGTGCCAGCTGGGGGCGGGCCTCACATTCCAGGAGGTGTGGTCTACCAATCTCCAGGCCCCTCCTCCCAGCAGGCTAGCACACATGCTGGATGGGGGGCCATCTCAGCCAGCTCTTGTGCCTGAGCCGTGCATGGTAGCGCTTGCTCTCTCTCAGGCAAGGGTGGGATTTTGTCCATTGTTCTTGGAGGGCACTAAGCTGGACGCCGACGTGAAATGCTAGCCCAGCTCTGCAGAGCTGTCCAGACACACAGAGGGCTCCAGAAGAAACTCACCTCCCTTTCTGACTATAGACTCCTTCTCTACTCCCAGACCAGAACCTGGCCCCACCGAAGCCCAGGGAGTTTTGGTGATTATCAGGAAGCAGGTTGATAATCAGCAGAGCCTTGCCTCAGAGAGCTTGACCCTGCATGCTTCCCTCTCACCTCCCCTTGGCTGGGGCAGCAGCTGATTGAACCTGGTCTAAAAGCATGAGCTTCTACTGGCTGAGCTAAAGGACCAGCTCTGCCATGTGGAAACAGCAGCTGCCACCTAAGAAATCTCTTTATGGGGAACAGCCCCAGAGGGGCACGTAGCCGGTGCTGTGTTTCGTGTTACACTCACATCAGGGCTGCAGGATCGGCCCTGGCTATTTAACCAATATTGTAACATTCCTCAGAGCCAGATGGAAACCAGCCTTATCTAGGGTTACCATTCGTCCGGATTCCCCCGGACATGTCCGGATTTTTGAGCTAAAAATAGCGTCCGGGGGGAATTTGTAAATGTCCGGACTTCCCCCAGGACGCTAACAGGGCAGCTGGCCGGATGCTGAAACTTACATGGGGCTCCGACAGCCAGAGACAGACCCTCCTCCGCTCCCCTGCAACAGAGATCAACTCCCTCCCTCCCTGCATTCCAGATTGCCTCCAGCAGTCTGGAGCTCCTCCCCCGCCAGCCAGCCTGCCGGGACGAACGGAGCCGTTCCTGAGCAAGCTCACGGAAACATTAGGCGAAGGCCAACAACAAGGGGGGCAGGGGGTCGGAGAAGGGGCAGGGAGGTTTTGGAGGGGGCAGTCAAGAGACGGGTGGGTCGGGAGTTCGGGGGGGGCTTTCTGGGGGAGGGTGTGGATAAGGTTTTGGGCAGTCAGGGTACAGGTAGGGGGTAGGGTCCTGGTGGGCAGTTGGGGGGGTCTTAGGAGGGGGCAGTTAGGGGGGCTCTTAGGAGGGGGCAGTTAGGGGATAAGGAACAGGGAGGCTTAGGTAGGGGGTGGGGTTCTGGAGGGCAGTTAGGAGCAGGGGTCCCAGGAGGGGTGGTCAGGGGACAAGGAGCGGGGGGGGGG